TAACAGTGCTTACTGACACTTCTACTGCTGGAAATGCAGCCATCTGTGTGAAGAGGTAATTCCTCCACACCTCTGGGAATCCAGCCATTGCAGATTCACTCCTGCTCATCATATGCTCTCAAAAGTCCCATGAGAATCATAAAGCCTTTGGGCATATTAAGTATACTTTAAGAGATTACAATATGAGACAATGGGTTCTTTGGGAAACAACTGGTTTTTCATTTCTGATTGTGACATATACAGTGCAAGTGCCACAGCCCCAGCCCTTGACTGACAGCCTGTAGGTATGACTGAATTACTTATTAAAAAAAAAGATAATCAACACCATACAGTGCAGGCTGCAAAGTGTCATGAAAATGCCTACAGAAATATGTTGGCACCTCTGTGTACTTACCTTTGGTAGGATAAGGAAAGAAATACCAAAACTATTTACTATAGTGAAATTAGTATAAGTTCATGAAGTGAATTTATTTTGAGGGCAGGGTGGTGGGGTTTTTTGCTTGGTTTTTGCTTGTTTTAAATAACGCTGACAGAACAGCCTTCTTTGCAATTACTATGCCACTTCTGCAAAGAGGGTTACAAAAAGTTCCTCTCATCATCATAGGACTTAGTATTAACGTAAATGAGGCTCTATCTTCAGAGAAAGGAATATTGTACATAAGAATAAGGGAGACCAAATAATACAGACCCTTACAGTATGAATATGAAATAGCATAGCTAAGATTTCAGAAGCTCACTGACAGCTTTGAATCACAATTGTTGCAGGGATATCAATTTGGTACCCACAAATTTAACAGACCATATTTTTTCATTATGAAAAAAACCCGTTTTTAAACTAGTGTAGGTGGCTTTTTTTTTTTTTTGCAGTGGAGCAAACCTTTGTTTACATTCTATTTGTTTGTCTCATTAAATCATGCCAGTATTCCTTTTAAACACTGTTATATAAGTAACCTCTCTTGTCATTGCACTGCAAAATAAGCCTTCTGCAGGTGATTGGCTGAACCAAGATGTCTCCAAAAAGATCTGAACATTCTGGAACAGAGTTGAGACTGTCAAAAAGAAAAAAGGGGGAAAACAAAGAAGGAAAAAAAAAAAAAAAAAGGAGGAGGAAGCTGCAAGAGGTAGTAGAAAGCAGAGTTCCCAAACCAGAAGTTACAGAGAACTATCTAATTTGACAGGAGGAGGGTAGGTAAGGGAAACACTTACAAATTTCCTGAAAACCATCCAATGTTAAAAACTTTTAAGAAACTGAGCTAATTCAGGTAATAAGAGCACCCCACTGCAACGCCTTGAAGTATTGCTCTTAGAAAAAAAAAAAAAAAGATGTCTAGGAAGTAAATGGGCTAATCTGTAATTGACAGATACACCAGGTAATTAATTATTAAATCACATGCTGTTTGTTGGCTGCAAATGGAAGCCTTCTGCATAATTTAAGACCATATTTTAAGCACTATTGAGTCTTCTGCTTGACATGTCTAATTTTCATCCCATTATCGCTCCCCCTCAAAAGAAGGGACATGTATCCCTTTGTCCAGTTTTAACACCTAAACTTCATGAATTTACAAGCAGTTACATGTTTACTTTCTAGAAATATAATTTTATATTTCCATTCATAGCTGTTCTACTCCCTTCCCCCCAAACAGACAGCACCAGTGAGTCCCCTATCAGCAGACAAAGAGACAAAACTGTACCAAATAGAATTGGATGCTTATTTAAAAGAGACAGTATTGTCATTCTTAAAAAGATAGTAACCAGAACTGTCTTCCTAAGGCATCATCAATGCCAGATTGTACCTTGAACTGATATATTTAAAGTCCACATTATATTCTCTTTTTTCAGACTTACCTGCAAAGTTCCTCTATTTTGCTAGGCCAAATCAGAGTGTACATATGACTAGTTCACTGCTACTTTCCAACCTAAACAGCTCAATGAAGTTTTTTTTTTTGCTCACTTACTCTGGAGATGGTCAAAGGCATGTTGAAGTCCTTGCCCCCTTGCAGTCGGAAACCCCATGGTCCAGGTCCATTCAGAGTCACGCTGTAAGCCATTTTGTACCTCTTTCACCAGGCAACAAGGCAGCACTACAGAACAGAAGGATGGGGCAGACAGAGAAAGTGTGAAAAAACAGAATGAGAAAAGGGAAGAGTTTTATATAATGAAAGCAATTCTCTTTCTGCCTTGCCTGTTCAGTCCTGCCGGGATATCACCTAAGAATAGATGGGAGCTATAATGCAGATGCTGATATCCCAGCTGAGTAGGGCCCATAAAAGGTTTGCAACCAGACACCTACTATGCAAAGACTTCATGACTCAGATGTCTAATATAGCCCCCAGGGAAGGGGACAGATCTTTCTAGGCTTCTCAAGCCCCTCTTCATGCTCAGTCACTTTATGGGCAAAACACATTTTGTAATAAAACAACCAAATAAAATCCCATGCTAAAATCCCAAACACCCAAATCTCTTTACTGACTTGTTAACAACTGCATAGCCATTTGTAACTTCTGCTTCCGATCATGTTTATTGCACCGTGATATATAATGTATTACAAACAAGTTCTTTTTACATAGATCTTTCCATATGTAGCAAGAAAGGCTCCAAAAAATAATGTTTACCTTCTTTTGTATTGATTTGTTAAACTGAAAAAATACTACATGTATTTGGCACCACAAAAAAAGCCCACAACTTCATGTTTGGCTCTTGGTTCCATAGCCCTCGCTTTCTCAAGGGAAAATTAAAATTTATGCTCTTTGAATGCAGACAGAGGTATTATGGGTTATGTCTAATCAGCATTTAATTTCCGTGGCAAAAGCATAGTTTCACTCCATACCTGTCTCATTATTTTGATACAGGTCTTGTAAAGGCACAATGCTTAAGTGGAAGGCTAAGAATACAAATAGCTAGCTAACTGCTTCCTTTATTCATTCCTTGGTTTTTCATAGTTTATATTCCAGTTGTTAGGTGTTCCATAAAACTTTATAACCCTTGCTCAGTAACACTGGATAGCATTTCTGTCTTAGATTGGGAATAGCTAAAATACAGAGAACAAGAGGGAAGGGGAGAAGCTGTTGGCAGAACTACAGATATAAATAAAAAGTTTCTGCTCTCAGGGTAAAGCTATAAACATTAAATAACGCTCACCCGTTTCAAGTCATTAATATGGGCAGGACCTCCGGAACCACTTTACTGTATCTCCAACAGCATCCCTACCTTTACCCACCAGTTACAAAGAAATTCCCATTACTTTAAGGTGGAAAAAAAAACCCAAACAAACACAAACAACAAAAAAACCCCATGGCTTTTACTCTGATAATCGAAACGACAACCAAAACCACATAATGCACTAAAGTAATGTAGCTCAGTTTGAACATTGATAATAGGTCACCCTGCCCATACATGTACCTTAAAACGCAATAGAAAAACTGGTGGTGAAACAGCAGAGAGCAAACACAACCAGGGCCTCAGTCTTTATCTGAGGAGATGGTCAATAATTTTTCAAAACCATGAGGCAATAGAAGTGTTTGCTTAGTATTCACAGTGGAAAAAAAAAATGTGTACAAGGGAATAATTATGCTCCACATAGACACTAGACTAAACCACATAACCGTATTTTTCAGTCAGAGGTCCAAATTAAACCACAGCAATTCACATGGATTCAAGTGAAAGTTGCACTCAGACAGTAGAACTGGCCCAAACCAAAATCAACGCAGATAGCAACACACAACTTGAAAACAGGTTTCTGATGTCTCACAAATACCTTGAGGGCACTTCTACATTAGCAGCATTTGGAACCTACCCTGCATGAGGCCTCAACCACTGTGTTTGAATGATTACTTTGAGGGGAGACAAAACTAACTTGTTGCGCTTCACACAGCAGAGTTTTCAGGGCTGCCAGTTTATCCAGTAGGTCTCTTTCTAAATGCTGGTACCAGATTTATTTACTTTAAAACACACACACAAAAGATTGAAGGTAAATTCCCATTGCACTATTCCTTTTCTTTTTCTAGGATTTCACTGTTGTTTTTTAGTGCCCTTTCTTGGCTCCATTTCAAGGGTTCAGGAGAATGGAATAAAAACAGGAGTAAGATAAACATGGCAAGTCATTGCTTCACTAGTACAGACTATCACAGAAAAAGTATCAGAAGAGAGGTCATCTTTCTATGGACTGTGAATTCTGTGCATGTTACCTTCCTATACTTAAATCTTCGGTCATTTGTGTACAAAAAAAAAAAAAAGGGTGGGTGGGTGTGCTGGGTGTAAAACCCAGAACTGCACAGGGCTAAGCATTAAGAAACAGGGATGCTGCTTAATCAAGCGCTATGTGCTTCTATCCTACTTTCGCATGTGTAACATGCCATTTGCTTATCAGTTTAGGACATCTGAAAGTGTCCGTGAGATCTTTCAAGCTGGGTGGTGGTATGCTAGGAAACTAAAATGGTAATCTCATTAGGGGCCTGTCATTTGAATGAAACGTTAAACTGAGGTCACTTGTTCCTACTCCTTTGGTTTCTGTCTGTGTCTGCGTGAACATTCAGCATAGCTTAGCACTTTTAAAAAGAAAGTGTAGAGGATATGCCAGTGTCCTGGCCAACACTCCCCTTCAACACAAAAGGACCACAGTTCTTTCATGTGCCTGCACTATCACTACCAGGTGCATTTTGGAGTAAAAATATTCCAGAGTTTTCTTTCTCCAGGGCCTCTCTAAGTCCTTTCCCCCGTGTGTTTGTTTCCCCTCTGCCTGCCTGGAAAAAGCTCTGTGCCTAATAATGAAGTACACATAGTAAAGAAGCTGTAGTCACATCTTTATTTGCTGGGGACACTCCTAGCACAGGTCTCACTTGTCTTCTACAGACTTTTAATACAAGCAAGACTCTAAAGAAGAAAGCTGGTGATCCACTCAGATGACTACTTCATCCCTGCCTTGTTTCCAAAGGTGAGAGACATGGGTGTTCTCAGCATCTCAAACATCCAGAGCAAACTCAGGGACTGGATTGGTGCAGCAGGTATAGTGCCATCATGGCTACCAGCTCAAACCTCCGCAAAAACTTCCGGGAAACGTGAGGATTAAATAAACTGTGTGTACATAATAGACAATCCCCTTGTTTTCAGAAGCTTGTGATGTTTAGATTAGGTTCTAGTTGCTTTACATAACTGCCTGTTAGACTGTTCCAAAAATCTTTTGTTTGCTCAAGTAACAGTATTTCATTTCTCTTGGAGTGCCTTCTTCCCTACAGTCCCCAGCTATGTCAAAATCCATGACTTGCTTATAGTTCCCTCCCTTCAGACAGAAGCTATGCTGAGTCAGATGAGATCACTGCTGTAAGGACTGACATTTAAAGAAAAAACATATTCCAGGAGCAGGGTGACATTTTCTCTACAGATATCAAAACAGAGAGCTGTCCAGAGCTCACCAGGTCCCCCCCAGAGCTGTCCCCAGCTGACTGATGGGAACAGTTGCAAGGAAGCTGGATGGGTACCAGGCTTTGCGGGCTCTACAGCAGAGGAGACTGCTGCCACCTCCAGCAAATGCCTCCAAGCCTGAGTAGAGCCATCCTTCCACAACTACATCAGAGACCTTACGCTAGCGGAAACAATTCACATACGCTAGGAGACCACGTGAACTGACTAGGACAGCTACAACTGCATGCTCAGAAGTGCATAGCCATTAAGTGAATGAAATAAAAACCACTAGTGTCAATGCTAAATTAAGGTGGAAGGAAACAAGTAATGGAAATTCCATTTTTTCAAGTTGCTACTACTTCATTAAGCTGGCCACATTACTCATCAGTTATATTTTAGCAGCATTGGTAGCTGTGCTCATAGGAGAGCCTTGAATTACTGTTACTGCAGCAACAACGTTCTATCCTTTGTTATCATCAAGCACTTCAGAAATAGATTGCTTGAGAGTTTGACTTCTGATATGCAATAGACTATGCATCTTTGGCATACAAAGAGGCACATGCACAGTCACGGTTTCAAAAACATTTTATGTTTTTCTTTAGGCAAGTGAAGAACTTGCCCTGGAGAAGAATAAACTATCATTTCTTTACAAAGACTTTTTTGTGCCTGTATTACAAAAAGACTTAAGTGTATGTTACTAAGTTCTCACCTTACCAGCATTTCCACCATTGTTTTTAAAGGCACTCACTACAGCATGTAATACTTAACACTTCTATGGCACCTACCTTGCCCAGATATCAATTTTCTTTTTTTAACATAAAGAACACCTGAACACCTGTTGTTGTTACCATCTCCTTTTTACTTATGTAGCCATGGCACTTAAGTTACCAGCTTTAGGTCACAAAATAAGTCAACACCAGCGAATGGACTAAAATGCAGGGCTGTTTCTAATACATGTACTTGAACCAGAAAGAGAAGGCTGCAAAACGTGTTGCTGTTCTGTTTTTATCATTCTTCCCCAACTCTGGGCTGAAACCAGGAAAGTTTATAGCAACCCTGACACTAGTGTCATTTGTGCCTTGCTGCAGGGGATCCTAATTGACTGGTTTGGCTTAAAGGAGAAAAAGGAAAAACAAGAACAAACAAAAAAAAAAACAAACCACCCCACACCAAAACCAAACAATCCAAACAAACACACACAAATGGCTAAAGAGGCTATGTACAGATCATTGTCAGGTGCACACACACCAGGGAATGAGCTGTGACACAGATGTCACAGGACCTCTACGGTGTTGGCTTGCCTCCAGAGAGCCCAGGGCTTGGCACAGCCCAATGAACGGACGACGAGGCTTAGAAGGGGGATCCTGTGCCATCAGTGTAATCTCCCTGTTGCACAGGCTCCTCAAGGACCACTACACCACGCTGCCATAGCGGTGTGCCCCTACACACACACCCGTATCCACAAGGATGCAAGATTTAAGTCTTAAATGGAGCAGGCTCACAGAAGTTAGATTTCAGCCAAACGGCTCACCTACCCGTTTCTGCCTTCCCAGAAAAGGCTCTACTGGGTAACACTGTGCTCTAGAGAAACTCTATAAAGCTGCAGGAAGGCTTTTAAGGACAGCAAGTGGCTCCCACCCTACAGCCCTCTCCAGCTAGCACGGCACCGGCCGCTGAGCCT